TTAAAAAAAAAATTAAACAGAAACAAACATTCCCCTCCAAAAAGATTGATACAATTTTTTTTATTCCCATTTCCATTCAAGAATAGTAAATTTCATTGATAGATTAAATAAATGGGGCATCTGCATTATTTTATTTTATATATTTTTTTAAAACTTCTTTTCATTCTGAAGATTCAAATTAAATATTTTTCATTATCACTAAATTAAAAATAGACATAGAGAGTTATATTGAATGTAAAAATTTAAATATAAAAAAATAAGTATTTGAAATTATCAAACTGAATTTTTAAATTATTAAATTTTGTCAGTGATTTAATTGAAGTGCTGTGTTCTAAAAAGTGTTTCTTTATACTAATAAAGAAATTTTGTTTTAAGTTATTTTTAACTGGGGTGGTTGGGGAAATTATTCCTCTCCCAAAATATAACTTTGTAAATGTTTACCTGAACAGGAAATAATTAGTAACATTTTAAGCAAATGATAGAATTTCATTTCAAGCACCAAGTCCAATTTTCATTTGGGGAAAATATGAAAAATTTTTTTTTTTTTTTATAGAAATAACCTGCAAAAAGAAAGTTTGGTGATGTTTAATCTTCATGCTCAAAAAAGGTTGCGCCACCACCTTTATTAGTATTTACTGTACACACTTATGACTCCCTTGGCAATGTTTATTTACAATGCATTATAAAAATATGTGAACAAAGAACAATGTGTTGTTTGTTCTTTACTTTTTATAAAGATTATTATTTATTTACCATTTTATAAAGAAATAAATTTGAAAAATATTTTTATTCAAAAAGTTTACAAAAAATTACAGCATTATCAAAATATGTAAAAAAAAAAAACTAACAATGCAATATTTATTATGTAATACCATTTTATTTTTATAAATAACTATGAAAACAATTTTTTTTTTATTCAATTTAATAAATAGTGTTCAATGTCTGTCATACAAAAAAAAACATGTTAATAATTTGTTATTTACTAGTTTCGGTGATAGAAAGAGAAACAAGTTTTTTTTTAATCAAAATTTAGAATATTCTAAAAAGAAGGAAAAATTTTTAAAAATAATTAAAAAATACTTTGGTCTTTCCTCTTAATAATGACATAAACATTTAGACGATAAAATTTTCTTGACATCAAGTTTGGCTTCCTTTTCATCAGACTATGCTCTTTTTTAAGCAATCTCATGAAGGTATCAAGTTTAATATCTTTATTGTCAATTCTCAAGAATAAAGAAAATGTATAAGTCTATTTTCAAATGTTTGAATTTTATTAAAATTCTACTCACTGCTTTTTAAAACAATGAATAAACATTGCCAAGGGAGTCAAAATTATATATAGTAATTGTGGTGTCAAGGGAATAACCATTGTTTTGACTTACTGGGGTTTTTTTTGTTGTTTTTTTTGTGTGTGTGTGTGGGCATGAAATTTAAATATTGCCAAAACTTGTATATACAATATAGCAATTTGTTCAATTTAGAGACCTGATGGAAGCAATTATTTAATGACTATGTGCAAAAGTTCCCAGTGCTCTTTAACACTGAATACACAGTTGGAAATAGAAATTTTGGCTGAAAACTTTTGTACATGACTAACATCTCTACAGGTTAGCATTCAATTCTACATAAGTCAAAATTTCAAATGCTGATTTTCAAGATGGACATGCAATCCCCAATTTAGAAGATCAACAGTACCCAATCTTTCTACTCACCCCAGCATTTAGTACATTCATGGACTTGCAAATTTTCTATATCTGTTTATACATACATGTACATAATTGATTTAAATTAATGATATATTACTCATGTAGTGATATGTAAATGACTACCTAATTAGCATAGCTAATGCATAGATTATATAAATACCCAAGCAGTAAGGGTAGAACAGCTCTTGGTATGTAAGATAAATGAAGACTGCTGGACTGATAAAATATGAAGAAAATCACACTTCATAACAACTAATATATTTTGAAATACTGAATTGGCCATTAAATGTATTAAAAAAGGATTAGTAAAAATGCCTGCCATCTGGAATTTTTGTGAGTCATTCTTCATTACTAGTAATTTTTTTTGGGGGGGGGATCAAGATAAGGAATTTAAAGAAGACTTCTTTTTTTTTTTTTTTTTCTTTTTTTTTTTATAAAAGTGCTTTGGATTTATGACTCTTAAAAGTATCTGCAGCTTGGCAATGCAATAAAATTTGATGATTTGGCTTGAATTTAAAAATACAGTTAACTTTATTAGAAATAAAATCTTTTCACAAAGATTTTGTTTACTAACTTGATTGTATAAAATATATATATTTTAAAGAATCTTATTTCAACAGAGACAAAACAAATACATTTATAAAGTTTTATCAAATATTATTGTATGAAACGATAAATATTTCAAAACCCTTGAATCTGAAGTCAGAATGAATAACTGGATGTTTTCTTTCTGCCTTTATTTTTGATTTTTATATATTTTTGCACTTTGCTTTATCGCTTCTTTGTAATTCTATCTCCACCCTCATTGTACTAGTCTTTCTTTTATTGGGTTTATTTTCCTGTTTTTTTGCATCTATGTAGTCATGTTGATAGGTAGAGAAAGACACAACCATTTATAATATTCTGAGGATTCTCTGAATAATGCTTGAATATTAACAAAATCAATGATTCTTGTTTGTTAATCAAATATTGATTATCTGCAAATCGTATTTTGGGGTTTTACTTTCATTGTTTTAAATCATTTAATAAAACCAAAGTATGTTCTGGCTCTTTGGGGAACAGAGTTTAAATTCACCAAGTGATGCTGCTGTGGTTTCCTGTAGCAACAGAATTTTTTTATGAGGTTGAATTAAAAGCAAATACATATTTTTATCACTTTTGTATGTCTGTATAATTTAAATTTGTTTCTGTTTTTTTTTTTTTTTTTTTTTTCAAATTTGAACCAAGTTTTTTTTAGTTTTTTTATTTCCTGATGAATCAGACTGAAGGAAAAATTAGTTTTTGTTTTTATGTTAAAAATTTGTTTTTTTATTTATCTTATTTTTATTTATTTATTTTGTGGCTGCTTATGAGAGAGTGCTGATAAGTTCTTGGCCTGACCCAGTTCTCAAAATTGGACCAAATAACCAAACATCAGATATTTATTTTTAATCTTGATAGGGCTGAGAATTTTTCAGCACCTACTTAGCTTACATTGGCACAAAACTCATACTTATTTAGTGAGTGATCTGGTCACATACTAAATATGGATGGATTTTGTGGCAAACAATAAATATATAAAAGATTGAAAAAGTTGAATGAAAACATTTTTAGAATGCTTACATTTTGTTTTTCAAATTATTTTTAATTTGTCATTATTAAAACTGTCCCCTCTTTTCATTTCAGTTCTGCATATCTGATTAACTTATGCTTGAAAGATATATTAAATACTATGAAATTATATAATCAAAGCAAGCTGCAAATATCATTTATAGTACTATAAATGAAGGGCAATGCTCATAACACTGATAAAAGTGGATTTGGGCGATTTAAACAGGAATTTTTTTTTTTTTTACAATTTTTTTAGTATATTTTATTTTAGTATGTTTTGATAGGCAATACTGCTTATCAGAAATTAGAAAAAATAAAAGATTGTCAGACAGGAATTAATGCAAATGTTACAAAATAAATAAGGCTGTATTTTTTTTTTTTTTTATTGGTTTGGCCCCATGCAAGGCAGAAAAGCCACTAAGACACACAAGGTGTCATAATGTGCGGTAGAATTAGAAACAGAAACATTAATAATGAGTGGGAAGAGGAAAGAGTAATCAGGAGGACAGTAGATAGTGATTGACATTGCATTTAAATTTTTGAAGATTAAAGTTGGTTGGAATGCATGAAGCCAGAAGAGTTTCCCCAAGTGAGAAGTGCTAGAAAAGAAACTGTTAGCATAGAATTTATGGTTACATCTAGCCATCTCAACCGTAAATCGATGAGATGTTGATGCCAGTGTAGTACAGTGTTTAAATTAAGAAAAAAAAAATCTAGGTAGCATAGTGAAGTGGTCATCTGAACAATTACCATGAAAGTATTTATAGAAAAGGTACAGAGAAAGAACATTACAGCTGTGGAAAAGTGACTAAACTAAGTGACTAAACTAAACTAAGTCATCAGATAAGGACCGATGATATTGCTAATTCTTCTTTTGGATTTTATCAAATGTTTATAACTTCTGAATTGGCTAAGCATTCCTATATGTTGACCATAGTAGACTTAGCTTTTAAAATCTTGCCTGAGATGTATGAAGGGATACCAGAATGTTCTTGGCCTTACTCAAATTTCAAAATCTCATGTAATGACCAAGCATCAGATTTATATCTTGATGTGTCGCGGTGTAATGGATAGCAACTCAGAATTAGAAATCAAAGATCAATGTTTGAATTCCAATCAAATTCATTATATTCACTTTCATGCAAATACTCTTGGGAACGGTATAAATCCATCTGTTCTCTCCCAAGTTATAGCTAAATTGCTGGTGAAACTGGAATCTATAGGTTTGGTTGACAACCAGTCTAGGAGAAGGAAAACTCTGAATTCAAAACCTGAAGAGGGTCATTTCAAGACCTTGTGGCACACTATGTGCACCCATTCTCTGTATTTGATTCTTCTAGAAAATGTGGTTGGTTCTTCACAAACCTTCATCCATCCTGGGTATGACGATAAACTGCATCCACATCTTGGATATGACGATAAACTGCATCCACATCCTGGGTGAGATGATGAACTGCATCCAACAACAAGGCCTCTGATCAGGAGGTTTTGAGGATTGTGGAGCTGCCTCTTGCTTGCTAGTGTTCCCAGGTTCACCCTGGCCCGGGGTGGTGGCACCTGTCTGGGTCCCAGCTGTGGGTAAGTGGTTGACCCCCAAACTGTTACTTCTTCATGATAATCAAATCATATGTGCAGGTAATCTGGCTATTTGGTTCTAAGAAATGAGATGCAATACACTCGTACATTGAGGCTTATTGCCATCTCATGTTGAAACACTGGTTCTCATGCTATCACCGTAGTTAAGCAACAATGAGCCTGGTCAGTACCTTGATGGGTAACCATTTGAGAATACCAAGTAAGCTTGGGTGTGCAAGTGTTGTAATTGATAAAGGCTCAGAATTGGAAATTGGAGAGCTGAATTCCAATTCCAGTCAGGTTCGTTATATTCACTTATGTGCAAATACCCTTGGGAAAGATATGAATCCACTTTTCTCTTCCCAGCTATGGATTAAATAGTAGAACTTGTATCAGTAAATTATTATCTCCAAAAACTTCTTAAAATCTGAAAATATTTTCTGATTTTAAATAACCTGCAAAAGGTTGATAAGCCATAAAAAATATAAATCAATCGAGAAACTTTCTGTACCTCCTTGCACATAGATACCTCAATAAGTTCATAGCTTAAGGAAAACAGCACTTTTAACAATCCTCTTCCTTGTCAATGCACTTAATTCAATTGTAAATATTAATCACATACACTAAATAATATACCTTGAAAATTTGAAATCCAAATTTAGTTGAAAATTAGCATATTCCTCTAACCCCTCTTTGCCAGAAACTCCTCCAAAAATCACCTTGCATCATATACCCAACTAGTTGAGGGACAGGTACTAGACTAAAATCTAAGCACTCTCATTTGACACATTATCCCCTTGATAATCCCTGGTTGAGATAATAAATTGTTAAAGTATGATTGAAATAAAAATGTTAAAATATAAAAATTAAATTTGAATGAATCACCAATTAAATAGTTTATTTAATTTTTTTTTCTTTTTTATTTCTGCCATATATGGTCTGGTGCTTAGACATTTTGAATTTAAGTGCAGTATTATGCTGGTGATGAGGTTTCACCAATTTATAGTTAAGTTGGTTAGATGTAACTGTAAGTTCTATGCTAACAGTTTCTTTTCTTGCAGTTCTTGCTTGTGGAACTCTCTTCCACTCCATGATCTCCAGTTAACTTTAATCTTCAAAAATTTAAATGCAATTAAATGCTTTCTACTGTTCTTTATATTACTCTTATTTTGTTCATGTTCTATAGTAAAGTTTCTCATTTCTAATTCTTTCGTATCCAGTAATCCCTTGTGTCTAAGTGTCTTTACTGCCTTGCTTGGGATGAAATTGATTTAAAAAAAAAAATTTTTTAAGTTTTTTTTTTATATATTTTTTTTCTTTTAATACTTAAAATTTTTTTTTATTTCTTTTTGCTAAATTATAAGTATGTGTTATATACCAGGAAATACAATCTTTCATGTTGCAGACTTAATGTACCCTCACATATAGTCCAAATTTTAACTGTTTATATTAGTAAATTTTAATTGTTTATATTAAAGAATGATCCTGATTGATGCTTATTAACTTTTGTTAATTAACTCTATGCAGATTGTTTCACCTTCAAGTAAATGTGATTAAATTAGGTGAAGCAAAATGCAGTCTTATTTTCTTAGTGTATAGCAAATGATCAGTTGTCAACTTGCTTGCTGTGTTTTTACATTGAATTATTTTCTAAAAATGAGTTTACAGGATGCCAATTCTCATTTGTTCCATTGTTCCCTCCATTATAACATTTACCCAAGCAAGACCTGATGAGATCTCCAGTCATAAGTTTAAGAATTTCCTTCTATTGCTATTACTAAACTTCCCTAATTAACAATACATATTCTCTAAGTGAATAAAAAAAGAAAATCAAATCTGAGCCCATTTCCGTAATGTTTTTACGATATTTCAGAGTTGAGTTCATTGCTGACATAACTTGATCCAAAGTTCTTTAGACTATTGGTCTCTTTTGGTTTGTTTGTGTTTTTTTTTTTTTTTTTTTTTTTTGTTGTTTTTTTTTTGAGGATGGTGGTGGTTGTTGTTGTTTTTATTATGACCACAACATTTTGGATTGTTGATTCTTTAAACTTCCTTAGGTGTACAATATGTAATAAAAAGGGGGTTTCTTTCTCTTTCACTCTTTCAATCATAACTTGTTCTCTTCTTAATCATAACATTCATGCTGCATTTCAATCTAATTTATAGTAAGTTTTGTTCATCAGACAAAAAATATTGCTTCTGAAAAAGGTTACCTTATTAAACCTTGATTTTACTGATTTTCAGTTGAATTTGTTACATTCATTTATACACAAATACCCTTGGGAAAGGTATGAATCCATCTCTTCTGCTACCAGCTATAGGTTAAATAACAGGACAGACTGGGTTGTATAGCTTTGGTTGGCAACCATTCTAAAGATGGTGACTCAATACAATCACCCATCTCCCAGCAAGCCTGGGCCACTTATAGGAATGCATTGACCCATGAAAACATATATTGATTGAAAAACACATTGATTGAAATTCTTCAGTTGTATGAGTTGTACATTCTGCCGAAGGCAGAGAAAACATTCACTTTTTATGGTTTTTTTTCTACTGATAAAATACATTAAAGCATGAATTTTCTTAAATCTTTCTCTCTTTCATATATATATATATATATATATATATATATATATATATATATATATATATATATATATATATATATATATGCTACTATATAAAATAGAAAAATCTATAAAATAATTATACATTATTTAGTGCTCAATGCACACTTGGGGCTGTGCTAATGTTTAATTTTCATTTTGAATTTAGAAGCACCTAGATTCGTCTGAATTGAAAATTAAAGCTCTATCTATCTATCTATCTATCTAATATATAATCAAATGTTCATGTAATTCACTGACTCAAGAGTTTTGCATTGAAATGTTCATCAAACATCTGGTCCTGATGAGTGTTTTGATGCAAAGTCAGTGATCAGAAAATAGGGTGTTGGTAGGAGGCCATTCAAAAAAAAAAAAAATTATAAGCAAGTTTAAATGAGGAACACTGGTTGTGTTAGATAACTTGAACTATCTATTAAAGAAAACCAGACCACTTTAAGGTTCCATTGTTATAATTTATTTCACCAGAGAGTTTCTTTTTCTCTGGATCATCAGACCTCACTTCCAAGGATGAAAAAAATGAATTCAAATAACAATGGAACCTTTATATATATATATATACATACATGCACACAGACCATAACAGAGATACATATCATGCATTCACAAACCAAAGAGCATGTTTATAAATATCACTCCAAAAGTATATAAACACATTTCTCTAAATATATTGTATTTTTTGATGGCTTATCAACCTTTGTAGATTATTTAAAGGTAGAAAATATTTCAAGACTGTAAGAATTTTGAAGAGATAATGATCTACTGATACAAGTACTACTATTTAACCCATAGCTGGGTTGGGGATCTTAATAGATAACTTTAACTATAATATTCAATAAATCAAGAAAATCTTATCTGGTTGACCTGGTTCGCTGAAGAGACAAATAACAGATTGGCATTTTGTGCAATAAACCATTGACAAAAGTTCTCCCATGGTGAGTGATCAGAGGCTGAAAGACCCTGCCCACATTACAAATGATATGGATACAGGAGCTGCTCTTAAAGTACCCTTCATGTGGTATTATGAAGTATGACATGTTAGGGCCACTTGACATGTGCTGATACCTGGATCATCTCTAACAGCCTGTAGAATGTCTTCTTTGTGGTCAGGCATATGAGCAGATCTCGGTTTTCCTTGATCCATAGTTTGTGGTATCAGGGGTCCTGTTTCAGCAACATGATTATAAACAGCAGTAAAAGTTGGATGAGTGGGCTCTCTTCGATCTGGAAATGCAATCTGATACAGCTGTGTAGCCTCACATCCATTACCATTCTCACAGCCATATGTAAAAATCATATCTGCCTGCTCATGATATGAATATACTGTCATTGTTAAACAACACTTCTCAGTAAACTTACTACTACACATGTTAAACATTGAAGACAGACTAGCCACAAATGTATATGAATGACAAATGTAACCTAGTCTATATGACAACATAGTGCCATCTACCATAAAATTTCTTTAAACTTAACTCAAAAACAAAAAATTTGTGGACATATGTTTATATGGACTTTCGTCCTTGTTTTGGTGTATGTGTGTATATATATATATATATATATATATATATATATATATATATAACAAGAATAATCCATTTGTTAAAAATCAATTGATTGGGTTGACCAAAAAGTCTAAGTAAATGTTTGACTTAATAAACATACAAACTTCTTGGCCAATGCAATATTTGGTCTTTCTGGTGATATCTTAATTTTACTTTAACCTTCATATTCAGGAAGTATTGAACATAAAAAAAAAAGAAAAAAAAGTCTGTGATATTTTTTTTTTTTTTTAAAATTTTAAGTTACTTAAATAGAAAATAACAGTATATTTATGTAGAAAACAAGTATGTATTATAAAAAAAAAAATAAGAAACAAACAAAAAGCAGTAACAATGTGTATTATATTTTTAAAATCTTTAATTTCTTTTACCTTTAGTTTATTTTGTTTACTTTGTTAGCAGACATTTTGTTTTGCTTGAGTTAATAAAATTTAAATTGCAGTCTTAAAAGATTGATGTCTCTCTTAGATCACAGTTTAACCTAAGGAGACATTTTTAAATTAGAATTTTTTTTTAATTAAGAAATATTCAATCATTTAATTGGCCTGAAATCTTTGTTCTGAATTCAACCAAGTTTAAATTTTATTTTGTATTTGTGTTTCTGTAAACCATTGGCTTCTAATTATTCAGCATGAATGAATGAATGGGTCAATCTGCCAAATTTCTTATCAAGTTTTTATAGTTAGTCACTAAGAATGTCTTAGTCTTGCAGTAGACTGTAATAGTAGGATATCACTGAAGATCAAACTAAATACCATATATACTTATGTATAAGTTTACTTCATGTATAGCACAACGCCTGAATTTTTTTGTAAAAAATCTGATTTTTTTCTTCTCCCCACCCTAGCTATGGGTTAAATAGTAGTACTTATATCAGTAGATCATTATCCCTCCAAAATTCTTACAGTCTTGAAATATTTTCTACCTTTAAATAATCTACAAAGGTTGATAAGCCATCAAAAAATATAATCAATTTAGAGAAATGTGTTTATATACTTTTGGAGTGACATGTATAAACATGCTCTTTGGAGATTGG